TACTTGTATGGTATTCAGCTTTGTTTGGGTATTTTCCCACGTCATTATAGATGACACGGGAAAGAAAATTCGTAATTTGGCCACACGGGAAAGAAAAACTGGACAACTTCCTCACATATCTTAACAACCTACACCACAAAATACAATTCACCATGGAAACAGAAACCAACAACCAACTTCCCTTCCTGGACGTTCTAATTTACAAAAAACCCAATGGCTCCCTAGGACACACCATCTACCGGAAAAAACCACACACCAACCACTACCTAAATGCACAATCCCATCACCACCCTGCACAGATCAACTCCATAGCCAAGACCCTCATCTCCAGAACCAAACGCCTAGCTGACAAAGACCACCTGAGAACAGAACCACACACCCTCACTAACATATTACTTTCCAATGGATTCCAAAGAAACACTATCACCAATCTAATCCAAAAAGAGATACCCCCAAAAAATCAAGACACAGAACAAGACAATGGTATCGCACTCCTCCCCTACATCAAAGGCACCACAGACAAAATCAGCAAAATTCTCCACAAACACAATATCAGGACAGCCTTCAGCACTGACCAAAAAATAGCCATCATCCTAAGAAACTCCAAAGACAAGATCCAGCTAGAAAACTAAGGAGTTTATGAAATACCATGCAACAATTGCCCAGCCACATACATTGGACAAACCAACAGGAGAATAAATGCACGCATTGCAGAACACAAAAACGCAGTCAGAAGAGAAGAAAATACTTCCTCCCTCTTCCAGCACCTTAAAGCCACAGGACATGAAATTAATTTCGAAGGAACCAAATTAATATCCAACACTGAACACTCCAGCAAGAGAATAATCAGGGAAGCCATCGAGATAGAGAAACACCCCCATAACATGAATAGACAGGATGATACCTCCTGCCTACCAGACATCTGGAAGCTAGCCCTCACCAACAAATGAGTCCCAGCCACGAAAACCAACACCAGACCCAAAGCAATGTGGGACACCACCGGCAATCCCCCTCATCAGACCCAGGCCCAAGCCCATCCTATAAACAAAGGACAACCACCATCCAGAAAACAGGCCACAGCTGCTTCGCCAGCTGTCACACCCCCTGACCCCAAAGCCAAACAAGCTGACACACGCCAAGAATACAGACCCAGACCCCAAACTCAAAGCCAGACTAAAACCCAGAATGCTACATCACAGCCACTCGCTCAGGACATCACATCAGAAAACTCAGGAAATTACACCACAAGAACTCAAGAAGTTGCAACACAGCAAATGACCCAGGATATCACAGCACAAGACCAAGGATACCACAGCAATAAATCTCACAAGGTCATCACACAACCCATTACCCAAGTCGTTACTACACAGGAGGCTAATGGAAAAGAGATCAAAACACAAACGACACAGGAGATTACAATGCAGGACCCAGGATACCACAACAAAAAAACTCACAAGCCCATCACACAACCCATTACCCAAGCCGTTAAAACACGAGAGGCTAATGGAAAAAAGATCACTACAAAACAAACGACCCAGGAGATTACAGCACAAGATCCAGGATATCTCCACAACAAAACTCACAAGGCCATCACACAGCCCATTATACCAACATCAACTCCATCAACCAATCAAGAGGCAGTAGCGCAGCCCACCAGCCCCCAACACCAGTATTTATAGAGAGACGGCAGCTCCGATCATACACTGCTTGCACTGGCACGAAGCCGAAAGCACCAGCCTGAGGATGGCGAGTGGGACCTCGCCGAAACACCGCCAAGATACTCTTAATCTTACATGGGAAAAGACCCTGTTTCTGTATAACGTTTCCAACAGAGAACTCACCAAAACAGAAACAGATGTCCTAACCAAAGGATTCAATTATGCTATAGCACCCAAAAAAATCCCCACAGAATCCATCATATGTGCAGTAGAATCCAGCCTAACTAAATTAAATATAGATGAAGCTGATAGAATAAGACACCAAGTTACTAACATCCTATGCACAAGCAAACCACCCAAAAGCAACTTGCACAAAGAAGAACTAAAAGCCCTGCAAGCCCTAAAAAAGGATAGCAGCATAATCATACTTCCAGCAGACAAAGGGAATGCCACAGTAGTAATGGATAGAAAAGACTACGAAACAAAATTGACAGACCTACTCCAAGACTCCACATACAAACCTATAAACACGGACCCAACCACATATCTGGAAAAATTAACCAAGAAGAAAATTATGACCAGCCACATGAGCAAAGAGATCCAACAGATGATCATCCCAAGAGAAAAATCTTCCAGATGCCCCAAACTATACGGCCTCCCAAAAATACACAAAGAAGGCATACCTCTCAGACCCATAGTCAGCTCCAGAGGAGCACCACTACAAAACCTAGCTAAACACTTAGCAAAACAGCTACAGCCCCATGCTGAAACAGCAGCTTCACATGTACAAAACCCATACCACTTCTTGGAAATGATCAAAGATCTACACGTGGAACAAGAAGATCTGCTTGTAAGTTTCGACGTGGTTTCACTATTCACTCAAGTCCCGATAAAATAAACTCTTGATATATCAAAAATAAATACCAACCAGCTAAACAGCTCATGGAACTAGAAGAACACTGCTTAACCAACACATATTTCATATGCAAAGGACAAAGATACAAGCAAATTGAAGGAGCCCCTATAGGATCACCACTGTCACCCGTCATTGCAAACCTGTTCATGGAAGAATTCGAATCCAGAGCCCTGGCTAATGCCACCCACAAACCCAAACTATGGTTAAGATACATTGATGACACATTTGTGATTTGGTCCCATGGAAAAGAAAACCTAAACAACTTCCTAACACACCTAAACAGCACACACCCCAAAATCAAGTTCACCATGGAAACGGAAACAAACAAAAAACTACCATTCCTAGATGTACTAATCTACAAAAAAACAGATGGCACACTAGGACACACCATATACCAGACGAAAACACACCAACCGCTACCTCAACGCCCAATCCCACCACCACCCAGCACAGATAAACTCCGTGGCCAAAACACTAATCGCCAGAACCAAACGCCTGGCAGACAAGACACACATAAAGACTGAACTATGCACCCTGACTAAAGTACTGACAGCCAACGGCTTCTACAAAAGCAAAATCACCGGCTTGATCCACAAAAACACACTGAGACATAATGGAGACCCAGAAGATGAACAGACCTATGGAACAGCTGTCCTGCCCTACATAAGAGGTACTACAGACAAAATCAGTACTACACAGGCATCACATCAAGACTGCCTTCAAAACAGACAGAAAAATAGCAGCCATCCTTAGAAACCCCAAAGATAAAATTGACATGGAAAACCAAGGCATATACGAAGTCCCCTGTGCATCATGCCCGGCCACATACATTGGACAGACCAATAGAAGAATAAGTACCTGCCTGGATGAACACAAAAATGCAGTAAAAAAGCTGGAACACACTTCCTCACTGGTCCAACACATGAAAGCCACAGGTCATGGCATCTTACCAGAACCCTAGCCACTGTAGAGAACCCCAGCCAAAGAATTATCAGGGAAGCCATAGAGATTGAAAGGGGACCTGAAAGCATGAATAGAGGAGATGATTCTCAGATCAACCATGCATTGTGTGCAGGGGTGGGATTCAATTTTTTTAACAACCGGTTCTGTGGGCGTGGGTTAGTTGGTGGGTGTGGCGGTGTCATGTGACCAAGTGGACATGGCTTGGTGGTCATGTTATTGGCTGGGTGTGGCCAACTCAATATCACTCACATTGAGGCACGCATCTCCTCGCCTGGCCTCTCATGGCTGTGGGGAAGCTGCAACAGTCATAAGTGTGAAAAATGGTCATAAGTCACTTTTTTTCAGTGCCATTGTAACTTTGAATGGTCACTCCACAAAAGCAAAGTACCAGCAAAGGAGGGGAAAAAAAACTCCAGAGAAGTTCCAGAGACAGGAAGTCTAGTCCTGCCAAGAATATAATAAGAGTTAATGGAGAGGCAGTTTCTATAAGCAACACCAGAATGTTTCCTTCCTGCCTTCCTTACAGGATTAGGCCAGTAATTTCTCCTAACAACCAGTTCTCCAAACTGCTTAGAATGTTAACAACTGGTTCTAGCAAATAGGTGCGAACTGGTAGAATCCCACCCCTAACTAGCGGTGACATGATAGCAGTGTTCTAATAGCTAAGGACCTGCCACAAAGAAGAGGGGGGTCAAGCTATTCTCCAAAACACCTGAAAGCAGAACAAAAAGCAGTAGATGGAAACTAATCAAAGAGAGAAGCAACCTAGAACTAAGGAGAAATCTCCTGAGATTTAGAACAATTAATCAGTGACTGGTCTCCAGAAGTGGCTGGATCCTCCATGTTTTAAAGAAGAGATTGAACAACCATTTGTCTGACATGGTATAGGGTTTCCTGACTGAGTACTTATGTATATGAAATTACTTTTTACAACATCAGAAAGACTGGTTTTCCAATCATAATATTTTTTTCCACAAATTTTTATTTTCAAGAAGCTATGAGTTGATGACAACCTGCTTTTAAATTTCATTATAGAAATGTGTGACCAGTTCAGGGATCTATAGACTTGAGTGATCATAGATTTGAAGGGGCTGGATTGAAGCCAATTACTGGAATTGAGATTTTTTTTTTAAAATGTAAATCTAGATTGTTCAGCCTGGAAGAAGGAAAGAAAGAAGCAGGCAAATTACAAATACACAAATGTTTGAATGAGTATTGTGAAATCAGTCCATAATAATAAAAATGATAAGCTCACAGGAAGAAAAAAATTAACAGCATGTCTGCAGTTATAACTGAATATCTGGGATGCAAAATCATCAAAAAAGAAAAAAGCCAAACAGTATACGACCAAAATGAAAGATCAGGCTAGAACAGGGGTGTCAAACTCAAGGCCCGGAGCCCGCATCCATCCCGCAGGGCGCTTAGATCTGGCCCACGGAATAGCCCTGGAAACAGGAAAGGACTGGCCCACAGTGCCTCTGCCAATGAAAATACAGCTTTGTAGGGCTGTGTGTGGCTCTCCTGAGCCCCGTTTTTGCTGGCAGAGGGTTGCAGGAGGCCATTGCAGATGAAAATGGAGCTTAGGAGCCTGTTTGACAGAGTGCTTGGGCCACTACAGACTTGGGTCACCCCTGACATGAGTGACATTGAGCTGGCCATGCCCATTCTGGCCACATCCATCCCAGCCCCCCAAGGTCAACCACAACCTCATGTGGCCCTCTATGAAATCAAGTTTGACACTCCTGGGCTAGAACATAAGATCAACACGCTGAGATCAAATACAAGCAAATTAAAACAGATTAAAAAAAATAACAAGAACAAAAAGACCAAAGAATAGTCGACCAAGAAATAGCATCTGGTAACAAGAAAGATTAAGGAAGCACTAGAAATAGAAATGGTAAAGAAAAAGGTGAGGAAGATCAAGAATTGGTCTGTGAACATGAACTGCATGGTTTTTAGTTGAAACATCTGACTGGTCTATAGCCACTCATTGCCAAACAGTTTAACATTCAACATTCTGCAAGGAGGTGAAACTGAAGATTGGTTAATACCTGCCAAAATCTACCTCATAATGAAAGATACAGCAACAGTGTCAGCATCAGGCAACTACAGGCCAATTACTGGCTTACCAACAGATTGCTAATTGGTAATTAATACAGTTCAACAGTATCTAGTATCTAGTTGAAAACAAACTTTGCACTTGAGCAGAGATGAAACTGCCCAAATAGTATAGGAACAATATGATTTTGGAAAATTGCAAGAGAAGGAAGACCAACTTGAAGGTAACTTGGGTTGATTACAAGAAAGCATTTGATTCTCTGGCACATTATTACTATCCCTTCAAATAATTCCACAAATAATATCTCCTTACTCATCAGAGATACCATGGAACGTGAACAGAAACGTCCAAATGCCATCTTATTTGGTCTCAAAGACACCAACGAATCAGACAACATCACAAAAGTTCGTGATATCATAAGCAACTCAAATACAACAAACATCTCTCCTGAAGATATCATTGAAATAATCAGAGATGGCCCTGGGTGCAAATACAATGACGGCTCTGTGGCCCCAAGATTTTGTAGAGTTGTATGCAAAGTCCAGCAAATGCATATTCATTCATACAATAAATGCCATTGCAAAAACCAATCCCAACCACAAAAAACTTCGCTCAAGACCAGACTTATCCATACTGCAAAGAATCCGCTCCCGTGAACTCTGCGCAGAACTCAAAAACCATCTAGACAATGGAGAAAAGGACCTATACACTGACTACAGAGCTGATTGCATCAAAAGAAAGTCACACAACCCACAACTCCGCATCCAACCCCACCCCATCCAATCCAACATCACTCAAAACTAGGCACGCACGCTCCTAACTACGTCTATTCCAACCACAACTGGACTTAAATGCAAGCTACTCAATGCAAGAAGCCTTGTAAATAAAATACCTGAATTTCTCCTCTTACTAAATACAGCTAAATTCAACATTATATTTGTCTGTGAAACATGGCTCATGCATCTCTCCCTAACTCCATTACCACAGTAAGAGACTATCATGTTTACCAATCAGATCGTGAAATCCGTAGAGGAGGTGGTGTTGCTATCTTCTATAAAAAGTCCCTATATCTAAAAAACATCCAGGTTACCCAGGAACTTGCTATTCCTGAGACCATCGTCTGTGAACTGTCCTTAAATATCACATTTCAGTTCTTACTATGTTACAGAGCCCCTGATTATGACATCGAACATGCAAACAAGCTAAATACACTACTAACATGGGCAGCATCCTGTCCACATTCTTTTATCTTTCTTGGTGACTTCAATCTACCTCATATTAACTGGGCCCTTAACGAATGTACAACTGAACCCACACGTGCAACCTTCTACAATGCAGTAACAAATCTGGGACTAGAACAACTAGTAACCAACAACACTAGATTTAACAACTGCCTCGATCTCATCTTCTGCAATAGTTTGAATTCAATTTATGGAATACAAATAAAAGAACTCTTTTCCAACAGTGACCACAACATGATTGACTTTTGTCTCAACATACGTCCACACAAAAATCATCACAACAACGGAATCCCCAATTATAACTTCAAAAAAGGCAACTATGATCTTATAAACAATGATCTCTCATCCCTTGATTGGCAATTTCTATTCTCTGGATGCAATACTGTAGGAGACATTACAACATATTTTTACTTGAAGTCAAAAGAGTCATCAAACTATATGTACCATTAACAACTCCCAAAACCAGAAAAAACAAATTACCTATAACAATAAGGAAGCTTCAATCCAAAAAGAAATCACTTTGGCGGAAAAACAAATCTGGTCACGTTGCCAACTTCAAAAGCCGATACAAAAATTTATGCCACCAGATAAAAACTGAATGCACCAATTATCACATTAAATAAGAAGAAAACCTTCTTTGCACCAATTCCACCAACGCTTTCTACAATTTTGTAAACAACAAACTAAAAGACTCAAGGTCCATTTCACCCCTGAAAGGACCTAATGGTAAAGACTGCAATGATGACACTATTAAAGCCAACCTCTTTAACACATTCTTTGGCTCAGTATTTGTAAACAGCAATGGTTCATGCCCAGTATTTTCTAGTCGAACCACAGACAACTACAATGATCTAATACATATCGATTTTACAGAAGACAATGTTGAAAAAGCACTACACAATCTAAAGCCATCTCTATCTATTGGACCAGATGGAATATGTGCCTACTTCTTAAAAAAGCTATCCACTGCCATAGCCGAAGCTCTAAGCATAATCTTTGAAAAATCTTTCAGGACCAGCTCCTTGACAAAACTATGGTCACAAGCCACGGCCATCCCCATCTTCAAAAAGGGAGACCACAGCCTAGTTGAAAATTACAGACCAATCTCCTTATGCTGTGTCACCTGTAAAGTCATGGAATCAATTATTAACCAATCCATTATCCTCCACTGAGAGACAAACAACCTACTCTCCAATAAACAATTTGGTTTCAGGAAAAAACTATCATGTAATCTGCAACTCTTACACTGCAAAACATATGGACTACACAACTCGATCAGGGCAAAGCAATAGACACAATCTACAGAGACTTCAGTGGTACATGACAAACTACTCCTAAAACTAAAATCTTATGGTATCTCTGGACACCTGCATAACTGGATAGAAGCATTCCTGTCAAACAGACAACAAATGGTCAAAATTGGGAGCGTCCTATCAAATTCTGTACCTGTCAACAGTGGTGTCCCCCAAGGCAGTGTTCTAGGACCAACTCTCTTCATACTCTACATAAATGACCTCTGTGATCACATTAAGAGCAACTGTGTTCTCTTCGCTGATGATGTAAAGCTATTCAACACCATAGACAATACTGCTACCCTTCAAAAAGACCTTGACTATGTGTCAGAATGGTCAAACAAATGGCAACTTCAAATCTCTGTCCTACATTTTGGAAAAAAAATCAGAAAATAAAATATAGGCTGAATAGTCACGACCCTGTTGATGATCCAAACTCTGTCAAGGATCTTGGAGTACTCATCTCTAATGACCTAAGTGCTAGAGCCCACTGTAACTACATAGCCAAAAAGGCATTAAGAGTTGTTAACCTAATCTTACATAGCTTTTTCTCTGTAATATTACACTAATAACTAGAGCATACAAAACATTTGCTAGACCAATACTCGAATACAGCTCATCAGTCTGGAACCCACATTATGTATCTGATATTAACACAGTTGAGAAAGTCCAGAAATATTTCACAAGAAGAGTTCTCCACTCCTCTACTCGTTGCAGAATACCTTATGCCACCAGACTCAAAATTCTAGACCTAGAAAACCTAGAACTGTGCCGCCTTCGGTCTGATCTAAGTATAGTATATAAAATCATACATTGCAATGTCCTATCTGTCAATGAATACTTTAACTTCAACCATAACAACACAAGAGCAAACAATAGATACAATGGTTAATCGCAACAAACTTGATTGCGGGAAATCCGACTTCAGCAACAGAGTGGTCAATCTCTGGAATACTCTACCTGACTTTAACCTTATACTGTCTACTATTTACCTTGCCCCTTTCCTAAGAGGTCTGTAGGGGGTGTGCATAAACGCACCAACGTGCCTACTGTCCCTGTCCTATTGTTTCTTTTATTTTTATTTTTTATTTTTCTTATATGTATCCATGTATTCATAACTATGTTTTTACTTATGCCTATTATTTTGTAAGCAATTGACAAAAATAAATAAATAAAAATAAAAAATAAAATAAAATAAATCATCACATGCCTAAAAATAACAGGAGTCAGTAGAAACATCAGCAGCTTCGGGCAAAGATCAATGGCCCAATGGAAGACACAGTTGTGGGTCAATGGTGATAGACTGGGAGAGATTAACATCAAGAGAAGAATCTTTCAAGGAGACTCACTTTCATATTCCTGTTTGTAATTGCAGTGATTCCTCTGTCAACAAAGCTGAACAAGTCAGACCATGGGTATCAAAGACCAGGCTATCCTAATTCCTTTACATGGACAATCTGAAGCTGTATGGAAAAACACTACCTGAAATAGAATCTCTGTTCAACACTGTTTGTACATACATCTGAGTGTCAGATGTGAACAACCAAACCCACACAGGCAGATTCCAGGGTAACTACTAACTAACCACAGACTGGGGCAGCCTTCTCTTGGGAAGAAATAAATAAGACTCCAAGGAAATTGGGGAGGAGGTTAATCCTAGTCCTTTGCTGGTTGTGCAGTGATTCCCGGTTAACTGTGTGCTTGAGCCTTCTTTCTGGCCAGTTTGGATGCTTTCCAATACCAAGCTATTGCAATGAATTTTGGACTGGACAAATATGCCACCTTCACCATAAACAGGGGAAATATAGTGCAATTTTAAGGAATCAAGATGTCCTATGGAAATAACATCAAAAGTCTGGGTGAAGATGATCACTATGAAGATGAGCATCCTTCAAGCTGACAATATCAATTCACTATAGTCAAGAAGATTAGATGTGACTACATCAGGAAAGTCAAGGCAATTAGCATCTGGACGATTCTGGTCATTAGATACACAATATTAAATTCTGTATCTGGAATAATTGACAGGACTTAAGCAAAACTAAAAGCCTTTGACAAGAAGATAAGAAAAATAATGGCAATGAATCATGCCCTTCATTCACACAGCATTGTTGACAAACTCTATTCAGCAGGGAAAATAGATGGGCTGGAATGTTACAAGTACATTAGACAGTTGGAAAAGAAAAAAAAGGGCATTGGAAGTATATCTAAAGAACAGTGAAGAAGATGCAATGAAGCTAGTACACTCTGATGTCTTATGGAGTACTGGAGAAACCAAATTGGCCTATAAAAAAGACCAAATGAAGAACAGAAAAGAGACATAGCAAGGCAAAGTATTACATGGCCAGTACATAAAAAAAGTAGCAGGCAAAGCAGATAACGATAAGCCCTAGCAATGACTAAGAGCAGGAAAATTGAAATAAGAGACAGAGAAGCCAATTCTGGCTGCATAAGACCATTATCTTAAGAACAGATGCATACAAAGCCAAAACTGAGAAGACAGTAATAGGCAGCAAATGCTGCCTCTGCAAAAAAAACTAAAGAAACAGTGGCTCACCTAGTTAGCTGCTGCAAGGCTGCATAGACAGACTACAAACAACGACATGATAAAACAGCAAAGTGCATTGGAATATCTGCAAGAAATGCTAACTTCTGGTACATTAGGGCTAGATTAGAGTTGTACAATGGTGCAAAAACTAACTCTCAAAAGTCTCTCACACAAGACAGAAACAAATGTGACACCTTTAAACTAATCTTTTAAACTTTGGTAATTCACCTGGCCAAATAAAACATTTTAAACAATACACGTCAATGTGGAATATTAGGATCAGGACAATTAGAAAAAAATTACTGAACTTAAGTGTGGCAGTGAAAGAGTTACAGGAAGTTAGGGATAAAAATTCGGTGTTGCCTCTCTTCCACTGTTGCCTTCCACAGGGCTGTTCTTAGAACAAACATGTACCATTTTCAATATAGGTAGTCCTCAGGAGTGGGATTCTACCAGTTCGCACCTATTCTCTAGAACTGGTCGTTAACATTCTAAGCAGTTCGGAGAACCAGTTGTTAGAAGAAATTACTGGCCTAATCCTGTAAGGAAGGCAGGAAGGAAATATTCTGGTGTTGCTTACAGAAACTGCCTCTCTGTTAACCCTTATTACATTCTTGGCAGGACCAGACTTCCTGTCTCTGGAACTTCTCTGGAGTTTTTTTCCTCCTCCTTTGCTGGTACTTTGCTTGTGTGGAGTGACCATTCAAAGTTACAATGGCACTGAAAAAAGTGACTTATGACCATTTTTCACACTTGCGACTGTTGCAGCATCCCCACAGTCACGAGAGGCTAGGTGAGGAGATGTGTGCCTCGATGTGGGTGATGCTGAGTTGGCCGCACCCAGCCAGTAACATACCACCAACTAAGCCACACCCACAGAACTGGTTGTTACAAAATTTGAATCCCACCCCTGGTAGTCCTCCATATACAACCATTCATTTAGGTACTGTTCAAAGTTACAATGGCACTGAAAAAGTGACTTATGGCCATTTTTCTTACTTATGACTGTTGTAGCATCCCTATGGTCATGTGATCAAAATTTGGATGCTTGGTTGATGGTTGCATGGTCTCAGGATCATCTGAATCACATTTTGCAAACTTCTGACAAGCAAACTCAATGGGGAAGCCAAATTCACTTAACCACTGTGTTACTAACAGGTTGTTGAGGTTAGGTAGCAGCAGGTGTGGACAGCTGAGGAGAGCGAGGACTCAGATGAGGGGCCAGGACCATTAGGGAGTGGACTGCTGCCTTCAGAGATTGTGGGGGCTGGCAGCAGCGATGAGGAGGTTCCTGAGGAGCCTGTGCCAAGTGTGTGCAGGCACAGGGCTGCTCGCAGGAAAGATGATTTGGGAGTAAGGCTGCAAGGTAATGGCCCCTCCATCAAGAAGATAAAAGCCAGCTGTGAATCGGACGTTCTTTGCAGGAAGCAAAGACATTTTGAAACTCGAGCCTTGTGGACATTGCAGTATCTTAGTTGGTTTTGAAGACTCTTGTGTTGTAAAATATTTCTAGGTAACCTTATCTGTTATTCTTAGCAGCCTCACACAGTTTTGGTGAGGCTTGTGCTTATCAAAGTTAATTAGTTTGCAGCAGCCTTTTAACAGGGGATTCGTAAGAATCATTGAAAGGTTTCTGTTCCCTTTGGTTCGTATTTGTTTTATTGGAGAAGGGTTTGGGTCAGAACACAGGTTGTTACTCACAACTGCAGTGATTCGCTTAACAACTGTGGCAAGAAAAGTCGTGGGGCAAAAATTCACTGTCTCATTTAGCAACATAAATTTTGCTCTCAATTGTGTTTGTAGGTCAAGGACTACCCATAGTGGCAATTTGTGTAGTTCAGGGTTGAAATCCTGGGATCTTGGTGTTTGCCAAACTTGGGCTGCAAACGTTTCAAAATCAGACTAGGTAACATTGTCAGTGCTTTGATCTAGGGAAATGGAGTTTGCCGGCTTTTTATGGGCGAAAGCTTGCCCTATTTTTCTTCTTGTAGTTTCTGTGCCTGTTTCTGCTCAATCCACTTGGTTTGGCTGGCTGTATTGTTTCAGTGTAGATTATTTCCCTTTATTGTGTTGGTTAATGTTTATCTCCCTATTGATTGCTGGGCATGTGATAAGGGAGAATGTGCTTCATGCTGTTTGTTTTTAACTTGAGTCTTTACTTTTTGGAACAGTTTGCAAACTATTCTCTCTCTCTTACATATATGTCTACTAGTGACTGATCCATCTTTAATAGTTTTGAATTTTGCTTGATCTAAAATGACTACATTTTACCATTTGAATTTGTGGTTATATTTGTGTTATTATATTGCTAAGTTAAAGAATTTTCACCATAAATCCTGCTGGTATTCATGGGCACATGCTGCTAATCCTCTGCCTGTTTGTGCTATTTAATAGCTTCCATTGTCCTTGCATTGTAAATTTTAAATAAATCCTATTTGGCCTTCTTTAGTTGTTGGATCTTTGGGCTGGCTTAAGATGCTTTGGAAAGATTTTCTTTCTGTGGGCCACTGTAATATATTGTAGTTGAAGAAACTTGCTGCGATTTGAGATAACTTTGATATACGGTTACCCAGCAGTTAATATGTAGATAAGCAAAAACCAAATGCAATTGACAGGAACAATCTAAGATAATATTACCGTGTTTCTCCAACAATACGGCCTCCACCAATAGGAAGACCCAGCATGTTTT